ACCTTATTTTTCAACTCCGCGTCTGCCAAATCCTTATTTAGAGCTTATTTAGAGCTTATTTTGACCTTATTTTTCAACTCCGCGTCTGCCAAATCCTTTTTTGGAACTTATTTACAGCTTATTTTGACCTTATTTTTCAACTCCGCGTCCACTTGGCAGCTTCCGGGTGGTTTGCTCCACGCCATAGAGCAACCTTTGTTGCCTGCCACCTTGCCTGGCAGCCATCAGAAGCCAAGAAAATGGCAATCACAGCCTGTGAGGTTCGAAGGAACTGTGTTCTGACATCACTGGCCACCACAGACATGGCACTAATCAGCTGCGCTAGATTCAGAAAAATAGACTTCATCAGGTCGGCTTGCTCAAAAAAACTGTGCAACACAGCTGTTGCCAAACAACCCTTATTTAGGGTCTATTTGTTTTTCACCACTTGGGCCCCCGAAAATAAGGCTTGATTAAGCCTTGTTTTGTATGTATTGGAAATAAGGCCTAAATAAGCCTTATTCGTGGGCTATTTCGACACTGGGCATGTGCAATTTTCTTGTCCCAGTGGGGGGGGGAGTGTTGGGGGGGGTAGTGTAAAACCCCATGAAAGTTTTATGATTTTCCGAAAATAACCCAATCTTTCTATTCATTTTACAATGTGAACAATATTGTTTTTCTCCTTCTTCTATTTCTTTTTGTTGCTTATCCATCGCGTTTTTCAGTCTCTTTCTTTGGTCTTTCTTTTTCTGCCTTTCACGGCATCTATCACAAGTTTTACAACTTCCTGAAAATAAATCTCTTGCCTTATAACATCCACAACACGCGCAATATGTTCTTTCCATAATCTTCTACTATAATAAGCAATCTACCCTTTAAATGGTTTCACGACACAAATAATATTTTTGCTCTGGGGTAAGACCCTCATAGAAAAAAACACCAAACAACAAACCAAACAAAAAACCAAACAACCGACCATACAATAGACTTTTACATAACCAGTTGGTGAAGTGGCTTGTGCAAACTGGGTGTGCACAAATACATTTGCATCAGGTGTTCCCACAAACATATTTGCACAAACCAATTTGTATTCATGTTTTGCTTATGGTGCAAACCCATTTGCGCAAGCATATTGCTACATTTGCATTGAGCAGTTGGCAAGAGTTTCCGGATATATCTATATAATTTTGGTGTTTTATCTATTTTATAAACTATGGATTTCTCCCCTTAAAAATCATTATTTTCAAAATTTTAAATTTCATATTTTTTACTCTTTTGTCGTTGGACGAACCTGCAAATTTCAAGTTTCAACACCAACCCCAAACTCGTTTTCCTTAATCCGTCAAACTCACCAAGATTTCGCAAATCAACACACTCGGGATTTTGTATAAATCTTCCTGCTTATGCTTTACATAATTTTCACCCCAACTTTCCCGCTTTCCACTTGGTGCCCGTTGTGCAGTTTCAATATGTTTATTATTAACAACTTTACCGCAGTCTTTATTACATAATGGTTTGGGGTTCCATTTATCAATGTTATTCCACAACCTCGTTCTTTTCCGATAATTAAAACCATATTTACAATAATCAATATCAAAATAGTCAAGTTCATTCATAAACTCCTGATTTTTTAATAATCCAGTTTGTGGATTTTCAATTACATAATATTTTGGATTGAAATATTTGATAATCTCAATAGTTTTTAAGACAATACTATTTGCATATTCAATGTTTCTTAGTCCTGTTGTTTTTGCTCTACTGTATTCTGTGCAAGGTGGTAATGCCCAAATAAATTGAAAATGGTTTCTGTCAAATTGTTTATAATCCCATTCCAAAATATCACAATTAATATCAGCATTTTTTAAATCCAATGATATTACATTAAAACCGAGCGACTTTGCAATAAGTCCAACACTGCCTGTTCCACTAAATATCTCTAATAAATTCATTTATTAGAATGATTTAGATATTTATTATATTAATCCATAAGTTTATATTCATCACCATCTTTCGCAATTTTATAGTATTCTAATGTTTGTTCTTTTGGGTTCTTGATGCGTCCTTTGGACACCATCTCAAAATAAGATTGTCTTTTAGTTTCATGGTCGCCTGAGGGACGCCCTAATCCTTTCTTTTGAAAGATTTTATCCATCTTCTCCTTATTATCTTCGTTATTGCTTTTAGGTTGGTTTATTTTTTCATCAATAGTCTTAATAAGTTCAGTTAATGCTTTAACATTCTTACTAATAATTACAAGTTTTTCATTAAATCGTTAATTGTAGAATCACCATTTTCTGACATTTCTATATATATAAATATGTATATATTTATTTATTTATTTATGCGTTTGAAGTGGTGTTAAATCTACTCTTTAAATGCTAATTGTTCATCATGTGTTTAATAGTTTCCTGTGTTTCGTTATCGCCATTTTCCGAGAGTGTTGCATCCTTACCCCATTTAAATGTAATGTTATGAGCATCAGTTTCTAAGTTGATACTGTCTTTAGTTTTATCAATATTCATCCTTTTATCTTGTTTACTCAATTTGAAACTTGTTGGAATACATGAACATTTACAATTTCCTTTCTTTTGTATTTCTAATTCATTTTTCATTTCTAACATCTTTTTGCACATAGGACAAGCAAACTCAATAACTGATGCTTCTTTAACAATTTCTTCATCTGTTGATGAAGATACAGCTGGTTCTGTCTTATTCTTTTTGATTTTCTTTCTTCCCATTTATATTAGAGAGGGGGACCCCCTCAGCGTGGGCATTTTCCGTGTGAAACGAGTGCTTTTCCAAATTGGAGAGTTGTGTGCAGTTATGTGTGTTTATATCCTCTGACCGCGATCTGCGCTGCAACTTTGGCCAGCTAGAAAGCATCTCATCCGCACTGAGTCGTCCCACCATGGCACTTGCAGCAGAAGACATGACCTACGAGGATCTGAAGGAGATCGTGGATGGCTACCTATGCCGACCTTGCGCCGCAGTAGTCACCCCAGAGTTGCCCAGAGGGGCGTTCAACATCTTGACCTTCCCCATGGAGGAGCTCAGCCAGACCGACAACCCATCCGTCCACCACTTTGACCTCATCACCGACTTTGCGGGGGAGCTCAACATCCAGGAGATCGGGCGCCTATACAAGCAGGCCTGCGATCAGTCAGACCTCCAGCTGATGCCGGCTCCCTTCGGATTGAAAGAGCGTTGCCCCAGTGACACGAAGATGCAGATGACCGTCACCAAACGCAACGACGGGTCCGTGATCATTCTGAAGCACTTTGTCTTCCCAGAGAAGGTAAAACCATCCTTGTTCATGAAGATGGCACACGGCAC